ATTATTTTATTTAATTTTTACATATTTTGGCAGGCCAAAGCCCATTACAACCGGCCCAAAACAGGACCCAACATTGCTAGGGTTTCACCCTATCTCCCCAGCCGCCTCATTTCTGGCCATTGGATCTGGACCCATCCAACGGTCCAGATCACGCAGAGCTTAGGGTTTGAAACCCTAAATATCATCATCAGTCGCCGCGCTTGACGTTCCAGCTTCTCAGCCGAGCGTCCCTTCGCCGCCGCGCTCAAGCCGAACTTACCCTCGCCGACAGCCTCTGACGCCGGCTGCCTGCGTTTACAGTAAACCACAGCAACCCCATCAGTCCCAAATCAACCCAAATCAGTAAAATATATACCCAAACCCTAAATAAAAAAATCCCTATAATCCCGAAAATCCGGGATTCTATCACCCTAAATCAACAACCCATGATTTCCCCTATTCCTAGACGTCATGATCTCACCAAACGAAGCAAAAATCAACCATAAATCAAGCAAGCTATCAGAGTCAAAAAAGGGAGGAGGGATTCGGTTTCCAGAAAAGAAAAAAGAAAAAAAACCAAAACCGAAAAGTAAGGGTGTGGAGAGATTTACCTAGGTTCGAAGCCGGGGAGCCCCAAAGTCACCATGGAATCCGAGAGGTCGTCAGAGTCTCGGTGATTCGAAGGTAATCTATCCTAAATCTAAAGGTTTAGGTTTGGTTTTAGGCTAGGTGGGGTTGTTTTTCAGATTGGGGTTGAGTGAGGGAGTCTTTTGGGACTTTTTTTATATCCGGCCACCATGGCTCCGCGTGAGCCGCCGTGGCCGCCACCGGTGTAGGGCGGTTGCTCCTCCCCTGAGGAGGAAGGGCGAGAGAGTTCTCTGCATCTCTCCCTCTCCCTATTTTGTGGAGATGAGATAAATGAGAATGGGGAGGGAAATAAGCCGGTTTTGGGCTTATATTTCCAAACCGAAACGGCGCCGTTTCAAGGGGTCTGGGCACCCGTGTTTTGCAAGCATGGGGTAACTACAGTTTAGGTCCCTTCTCCTTTGTAATGCTTTATTTAAGTCATTTAATGAAATTATTATTGTTTTATTTCGAGCCTTTTAATTTTTAATGATTGCATTTCAGTCATCAATTTGTATATTATGTTTGCTGACATTATAATTTGGTTGTGATATTTATATTTATTTCGTTTTAGTCACTGTTTCAGTTTATTGTGCATTTTCCTTTGTTATTCGGATTTGGTCCTGAAATTTGCAAATGTTATATTTAGTCCATGTTCATGTTTTATATCATATTGTCTATATTTGATTCTGGATTTCATATTTTCAAATATTTTAATTTAATCACTGATCCCATGCATTTTTTATCTTTACTGTTATTTGAGTTTTGGTCATCATATTCGTATATATTCTATTTTAGTCATCGTTTGATGTTTGGTTTAATGTCTATTTTATTTTCTTTTGTTTGAGCATCTATGTTTCCCTGTTTATATTTAGTCCTACTAATGCATGTTATGTCATTTTTGTGGATATTTGACTTTGGTCCCAATGTTTGTAATAGTTTCATTTAGCCCCTGAGTTTATTGTTATGTTTTGGCTGAGTTTCGAATTTATCTCTGACATTTATAAATATTATTTTAGTCACTGATCTTAGGTGTTGTGTACTTTCTCTGATATTCAAATTTGGCTATGATAGTTATAAATCTATTATTTTAGTCATTATCTTACTTTGGTTTAATTATGATTCGGCCTTCATGTTTTGGTTATTGCAGTTTAGTCCTAGATGTTGTTTATGGTTTATTTTCATTTCTAGTGCTTGTAAATGTTTAATATTTTGATTTTGGCTCTGTTTTTATTTACCGATTAATCCCTTCATATTTCTATTTATTTCATTTTAGTCCTTTGAAATTCATGTTGTACTATTTTGGTCCTTTGAGTTTATATGTTGTTATTTTGGTTTTTTTGTAATTCAAAGTACTTTTTTTGTCATTATAGTTTAGTTTGTAATATTAATTTTCTTTTATTTTAATCCCCTATGTATGTACATTTTTCATGTTATGTATCTATTTGTACCATATGTAATTAAATATGTTTAATTTTATTTGTTGTAAATATTTATTTCACATATTTCTATTTCTATTTATTTCCATTTTTCTTTATTTAAATATTGTCCAAATACTTTAAGAACATGTATGCGTAGAATGAGCGTGGAAAGTACCACTTGGTCGAAGTGGTGTAATCCGGTACGGCATTTTAACGACATAGAAACTTAAAATAAGTTGAGTATATTTTGCTAATTAATTTGTTCAAACGATGCAATGTGTGTTATTTTAAATGACAATTTACTTTATTTTATGTGAATGTAAATTCCAAAATTTTTAATTTGTATTCAATTCACGTTTTTAGTTAATCAATTTATTCGTATGTAAACATTGTCTTTAGTTATATTCTATTTGTATTTTTAACATAATCAATGGTAGAATATTCTTTTACGAATGAGAAATAGTTGAAATAGCTTTCTCGACGGAGGATTGCAAATTTCAAGATTTCTGATTGAGTTAAAGGATTTTCTTTAAATAATTCGAGGCAAATTAAATAAATCTCAATAAATGGATCATAGGTTAATTTTATATTCGATTTATCATTTCCATCATTTACGACAATGTGTAAGCGACACAGTACCATTTTTTGGGCGCTGTGGGGGTGCTTACCCTTCCCCACACGTAACCGACTCTCGAATCCATTTAAATGAATCTTTGGTAATGCGGACCGAATTTAGTCTTAAAAATGATTTTTCTTAAAATTATTTTGAAAGACGTTTTTAGGTTTCGACCTACCTAACCCAAAGGTCGATGGCGACTCTATTCAATTTAATCCGAATTAATCCAAAATACTCAATTTTTCAAAATGAAAGTCATAATCATTTTAAAAATAATATTTAATCGTTTTATCTAAAAATGGTTATGACAGGGGGTAATACGTTTCACCTTAAGATCCTTGCTCGCGTTTCCGGCCAACTCCAACACCTCTGCAGTCAAATATTCCAGGATAGCAGCAGAATAAACCGCAGCCGTGGCTCCTACTCTCCCATGTGCCGTGGTCCTTTGCTTTAGTAGACGATGGATACGACCCACCGGGAACTGCAGGTTTATACATTATACAAAAATTTCAACAAATGGAAAACATATATCATATGAAACTCCAACCTCTAGTTACATCTAATGATTTACAAACAACAACTAACACAGCTGATACTAATCAATCAGAACACGAAAAGCATCACTCATGGAACTGGCTTAAAACTTAAAAGGAGATTTATAGGACCTAGCAGTCCGAGCAATGAAATCACAACAGATAGACCTGCCACTATATAGCCTGTTACATTTAAACAACCGTAAATTGTTCTTGCCAAAACGTGCAAAATACACATTAATTAGGAGTATTAATCAACTCGAATCCCAGCATTAACCAGCTCCACCCCCTTCAACACAAGCTCTAGGAGCTAAAATTGTATCCATAAACTAAAAGGTAAAAAACTCAAATCAAGAAAAGAATAATGTTATGGAAAAAGGAAAACAAACTGTGCAAAGAGAGACCTGGAGACCAGCTCGAGAAGAACGAGAGATGGGTTTTTTCTTGTGTTTGTCCTTGTTGGAAGCGAGGGTTTTGCCGGTGGTCAAACCTTTGGCGCCTTTACCAGACATCTTTCCTGCCAAAAACAGAGTAACCCAATATAATTAGGGCTAGATGGAGGAAGAAGACAGATAGAATTTGTTCGCCGGGAGACTGAACTTTAAATATATTAAGTTTAGTGAGGAAATTAAATGAATTTAAAATATAATGACTAAAATATGAAAAAGAATAAAATTTAGTAATGATTGGTGTAATTTACCTTTATTTTTATGGGCATTAAGTAAAGTTTTGGGGCTGAACTTTATGAAATCTATTTTTTTTATTTATATATATATATATATTACCATTTCAGGTAAAAAGAGATCAGATCTTCTATAAAATTAGTAAAATCAATGGTCAATACCACCTTGTAAAGTGCAATAAATTATCCAAGTATCATGACAAGGCAACTACCAAGAAGATAACTAATATGATGTTTGTTTTTAAAGAGGTAAAATGTATGTAGTCATCTGCAGTAGAAGAGGTAGATCAAAAGTCTGCAGTCTATAAGAAGAAGACTGTTTGTTTTTTAACGTCTGCAGACTGCTAAAATAAACTGAAATATAAATAAATTGATTTTTTAAACTTAAAAGAGTTTTGCAATACTGAAATTTAAATAATTTTAGTTTTACAATACTGAAATTTAAATAATCCATACAACTACAATAATATTTTTTTTAAATAAATCAATTCATATTTTTTAATATTCTTTGGAGAGGTTAGAAGAGTTTTGAAGGCATAATGTCACGTCTACGCTAAGAAGATGACGTGCAGACGTTAGAAGAGCTTTTGTCCTCTAAAAAACAAACGGTATGCGAAGCCCAATGTTTGCGCGTGGTCTGCGCGGCGCAAACATAAGAGCTTTGAAGACCTTTAACAGTGAAAACAAACACCACCTAAGTATCTTGAAAGCGTAGAAAGGTTAAAAAACACATACAACGGTAAATAAGCATTTTGGGGTCCGAATTTCTTTTCATGGTTTAATCTAAACTTAACTTTAAGATTTAATTTACTAATTTTTGTGGTCTAGGAATGAGAATGAGACACAAATTCAATGAGTTTACTCTAATTTAGAAGGTCGTTTTATTATAAAAATTAGTTTGAGTTTGAATTTATGGTGAAAAATATTTGACTTGATTTAGAAAAATAATATAAGGTAAAGGGTAACTTTTGCTCCTGCAGTAAATTCAATTTATCACTTTCGTCCTTATCGTATTTTCACATCAATTTAACCCTCGAAGTTGTTCAATTGCATCATTCTATACTTTATCCCTAACTTAAAACCCTAAATCATAATCTCATAATATCTCGATCATAAACCCTAAACCATATATCCTAATTCAGAGTTTATAATTTAAGATTTTAAGTTAGGGTAGGATATAAAATGATGCAATTAAACAACTTTAAAAGTTAAATTGATGCAAAAATACGGCATAAGTTAAAATGATAAACTGAGTCTACATAGGGGCAAAAATAACCCTTAAGCTATAATATAATTATCCCTTATATATTTAATGATAACTATAATAATATCTCTCTTTTTATTTTTTTAAGCTACATAATAAAATTATATATATATATATGTATCAGGTCTGATGCAGGGGGATCCGAGACAGATGATGCTGAGCTGTCAGATTGTACCTTGATGGCGCTGAGATACCATGAATTGGAAGATCAGCGCAAAGGCGAGAATTGATTGTGACATGTTCCTCATTGGGGTCGTTTTGAGTATGTTTCAGTCTTTTGGCCATAACTTTGGCTACAGGTGTCAGAATCGCGCATAAGACCCCAATCTGGAAAGCTCTTTTCAACGCGCACGCTCTCCACATGAGCTATGCTTCATGTGGCCTTTTTTTCAACCTCAAATTCTGCCGTTTTCCCATCCGAATAACTAGAATTAGATATTTTTTACTATTTATGGTAATATTTCGATTGTCAATTAGGAAGTCAATTTAAATCTGATTTAGGCCGAATTTTTTGGAGATTGCTTATTTTATTTCGAATTTGAATTTAGAGTGATTTTCGAGATTTTGCTATTTTTGGCAAAATTCGAATAAAGACGATTTTTTGCTATAACGGTTCGGCTTGTGGACTGATTTTGGCATTGTTTGATTTGATAATATTTTATTAAACCCTAGAGACTTTTTCTCTGGATTTTTTTTGGGCGAATTTTCTCTTGTGAATCATCTGTTGGAGCGCTTGCAGGATAATCACTATTCTGTCTGGCGTCAAGGTCGGATGTAGATTTCTAAAAATTAAATTGAAAATTTTAATAAACTTGAGTGAAAAATGAAGGAATGAAATACTCGAATCGAACTAAATCAACTATATATCTGACACATATTGATCTCTATTATGATATAATTAATCATTGAAATCGTATTTCTTAATTCAAATGAATGCTTACGTCTTTTAATATCAAGTTTAGACACTTAATTTAAATTTAAATATCTACGCTGGAAAAGTAAACTTAGACACCGAATTGAATATTAAACACAAATTTAAGTACTAAAGTGCAAATACCTAAATACAATAGTAGTACAATTCCGCGTCACGAGTTGGCACTGATTGACCATTCACGCCCATCAGCCAACAGCAACCGATAACCGATAACCATTTGCCATTTATTATTATATTATTATCATCATCTCAGTTCACCAGAACAGATTCCAAATTCCCAAACAAATTTTTATTAAATTTATGATCTCTAAGTTGAAGCCAATCTGATTCTTTTCTCTTTCCATTACCCTCTCTTTAAGTTTTCAAATATGCAGATTGAGAAACTGCCACTCCTTCGTTTTCTATCGTGTTTTCTCTTCGTTTCCCAGTTTTTCCAGCTCTCCCATGGCGATGTCGGAACTGCCGCACACTACAGCCCTCCGTATTTACGTCTGTACCGAACCCTGAACTCAGTGTTCTCTTTTTTCTTTATTTCGTTTGCTGATTGATGGGTTGTTGTTCGTTTACGTATCGCGGTTGCAGCGACGGCGTGTTTCGGCGAAGATCAAACGGAGTTCCCGTCGAGCAATCTGTTCACGGCGGCCGAAGACTGGATATGGGACAATGGGGCATCGTGCGGGAGACAATACCGGGTTCGATGCATAAGTGCTTCGCAGCCTTGGACTTGTGTTCCCGACGAGACGATCCAGGTCAAGATTATCGATTATGCTCTGACGGCGCTCTCTCAATCTTAGCTCGATCCACCACCATTGTGCTTTCCGAGACGGCTTTCGGTGGAATCACCAGCAAGGCCGTCGTCTCCATCAACATTGAATTCCAACAGTGAGTTCATCTTCTTCACTGATAAATAATTTACTTCGTTTCTTTATATTTCCCAGATCCCCCTACTGAATGCTCTTTTGTTTTTGCTTCTGCAATCTCCATGCAGGGTTTGATATGGAAGGGGAGATTAAAGATGCATGTTATTTATGATTTATCTGGAAATCTGTGATGGTCAACGCTTTTTTTTGGTCTTGAAGTGTTCATACAAAAAAAAATGATTCTTTTTCATCGGTAAATATTCAGTGTTTTGTATGCAATTTTTATAAGGATAAATTATATATATAATACCTAATCTATTAGTTTTATTCTATTTTAGTATCTAAAGTTTTATTTTTTTAAATTATACATAAAGTTAGGTTTAATTTCATTTTAATACTCCGTTCAAAATTTAAAGCTAAGTTTTGAAAAAAAATTAAGTTTTAGGTATTAAAACAGAAAATAACTGATAGTTTAAGTACTAAATACGTTAATCTTTTGACGATGAGATACCAAAATTAAATAAAATTTTAAAAAAACTTTAGTACTAAAACAGACCAAAACTTATAGTTTAAATATTAAATACGTAATTTATCCTTTTCATAATGAAGAAAGGGTGAATAGTTTTCTTAGTTTTGCTCTTTCGCGTCTGCTTCTCGCCATTCGGAAGCTTCTGCGTTTCATCACGACACTTTTGACCTACGCTTTTACCGAAAGAGCTTCACGTTGGCATGAACCAATGCAAGATACACGTATCATTCCTCAGTAAAGGGAATGAGAAGAATACAATATCCAACTCGTTCTAAGCCATAAAAGAAGAATAATTATTGAAGGGATAAAAATAAGTTCCTCAAGCCGGACTCTCGGCAAATTCACTTGCTCTCAGCATCGTAAAGACCCGACCTGAAAACGTATTAAGGAATATAAAGCAGAAAAGAGCAGAAGGCAGAGAACTCGGAGTATAACGAAAAGACGATATCTAAACTTCCCATATCAAGGTACATGTGAGTGTGCAATTTCAACAGAAGGCATAGTGAAGAGGCTGTACATGAGCAAAATGTGCAGCAAACAACTAGCAATATGCAAAATGACGCGGCGACTGATGTCGGGAACATAGCTCCATAAAAAGTTCAAACGACATACGCTAGACAACCGTGAGAGTCGTTTATCTTTCTTGGATAAACTAACCAATATTATTACAATTCTCAATGGATGTCTCCGTGATACACAGACCTCACATATTCATATGTAAATGCATTTGACTCTGCCGGTTTGTCGTTCGAGTGCAACGGAAAATGAACATTCCCTTGAAACAAAATTTCATGACGTATGAGAAGAAAGCGTAACACTACCGAACCTTTTCTTTTTCTTGGAGGACTAAGGTGTTGCAGAAAATGCCTGATAATCATATAAATAAGTAGGAACAATTGCCCACAATACTAAACTGGAATGTAAAGGCAATGGTTCTGTAAATGGGGTTATTATAAAGTTTGCGCCCTAAAGTATACGAAATAGGTTGTAACATGACACTTAAAAACAACTACAAAATTGCATTGCTTTGCAAGGAAGAAACATATGAGTATCGGTATTACCTTTATAATATTTAAATAAATTAGCCGTTGAAGACTGTTGGACTTGACCAATATTGATACTATGCTTCATGGTATCGATATTATTGTGTAAAGTAGTATCGGTACCTTTTGAGTATCGGTACCTATTTGGCATTATGAAATTTGAGCAATTTGGAAAACAACTGGTAGTATTGATACTACCTAGAGAGTATCGATACTTCTCTCGCCTCCAGTATTAGTACCGCATAAACAAGTATTGTTCATATAGT